GCCAACAGTTGTTGCCTTCTCACCAAGCTGCTTGCCTATTGTCCTGTAGCCCATCCCAGCCTTGTGCAGGTCTACAATTGTATCCCTGATGTCCTTACACAGCTCTCTGGTCTTGGCCATTGTGGAGAGGTTGGAGTCTGTTTGATTGAGTGTGTGGACAGGTGTCTTTTATACAGGTAACGAGTTCAAACAGGTGCAGTTAATACAGGTAATGAGTGGAGAACAGGAGGGCTTCTTAAAGAAAAACAAACAGGTCTGTGAGAGCCGGAATTCTTACTGGTTGGTAGGTGATCAAATACTTATGTCATGCAATAAAATGCAAATTAATTACTTAAAAATCATACAATGTGATTTTCTGGATTTTTGTTTTACATTCCGTCTCTCACAGTTGAAGTGTACCTATGATAAAAATTACAGACCTCTACATGCTTTGTAAGTAGGAAAACCTGCAAAATCGGCAGTGTATCAAATACTTGTTCTCCCCACTGTACATACATACACACACACATTTGCATGCACGCACACACACACTTAGACACACTCCTATTTTGAATAATTGTTTTGTACTATTCTCACCCAAACTGTCCTACAATACTAACAGCTCAGGCCAGAACATCATAGGCCATACGGTTGATCACAGTCCAAATGAGAACTGACTGAAAAAGGAGGGCAAACAATTGAATGCTTAGGCTTTTATCCATAGCCCTGTGGTCATTTGATCCTTTACACTGTCAGCATCTATATACTGTGCTGCTGCAGGTAAGCCTCTGGTAAGATAATATATCCTCTTGGATCCTCTCTCGCTCTCCGTCTATTTTTCTCTTTCCGGTTTGCATGTCTTCTATGACAAAACCGGCTTAACCTGCTCTGTTATGTCACTTTCACCCAATGATAGAGTGACCATGTATCTGAATGGCACTCATGCCAGGAAAAATTCTAAGAATGTTTAGAGAATGTTATATGAGTGTAATGGGATTGTGTATTTCCTTCAATCATTAAATAATCTGTTCATGACAGTTATTTCAGAATAACAGTTATTCACTTATTTCAGAATTTGAAATAAGTGAGCTATCAATAGCCATCAACCATTGTATTCACTCATATGAAAGTGAAGCCACAATGAATATACTGACATTGTGAAAGAGATGTGGTTGACATAGAACAGTTCCAACAAACAATATAAACTCACATGTCTGTTTGCTTAAAACCGGCATTGCTTCTGCCACAACCCACAAACATTAGTATTATGTATGAACCACAGTCAACACTGGCCTCTTCTCCACAAATCAATTAAGCATATAGAGAGAGACCGAGAGAGAGCGAGACTTCCTGAGTCCCTACTGAGCTCTCAGGTCCTCCCCTACCAACTCCTAACACGGCATTGGAAAGTGCAAATATCAATGACTACGTGAAACACAGTGCTAAAACAGGAACGAGTGGGGAGTGGAGACCCAATACTTTTAGCGGCAGCTATTTTTTTATTATATTCAGGAAGTGGCTGTTGCCAGGTCGGCTGGAGAAATGACTTCTATTGGATATTGACTTTGCGCCATTTTCTCAAAGCAGGCCAGTTAGCATGTTAGCTACTACATTAAAAAAAATATATATAGTAATTTAGCAGATGCTCTTATCCATAGCGACTGACTTACAGTTAGTGCATTCATTTTAAGGTACGACAACCACATACAGTATCTGTCATAGTAAGTACATTTTTCCTCAATCAAGTAGCCATCAGCAAAATCAGTGCTAGTAGTAAAAAGTAAAGTCTGAGTGTTAGTTCACGAAAGGCAATAAAGATTAAGGTCTTTATTGAGTACAGAGGCCTAGCCTAAACTTAGCATGTCTTTCAGTGGCTTGTGAGCAACCCATTACCTTCACAAAGAGGTCACTTTCTCACCTGATTGTCACCCCTGAGCTTCTGAGTGCCACTCAATGTAATCTAATTAGGCCCATATTGAGTAATCGTTAGCAACTAGCCTGTCGTCCTTACTCCAGCTCCTTCTAATTACATATCTTAATTACCGCCATCATGTATCATGAATGGGGGGAAGATGGGGTGGGCTAATCGGTTAGCACTCTCTAATTAGCTTTTATGCTAGTGTCGTAGAGGGCTCCTGACTTGTCAGCCATGTGGATATGTGAGGATATGTGAGAGTGATTCAGAAGTGGTGGGAGTATTTATAAGTATGCATACTGAGACTGGCTGGATTTATGGACATGAATCAGAAAACATGAATTCACAAAATGTGTATCAATAAAGCAAATGCTTGAGCTGTGCTAGACAATTAGGCCTGCATGTCGATAGTATCTTATTCAATAGGACTGCAATTATACTTACACAAGCATGAAATTAATGGACTTTTGTCAAAAAACGTCTCTACCCAGCACTGTAAATGGTTGATATATAATATCTGACTTTACACTGAATAATGTTCTTTATTCAATTCCAAAGGATAAGACAAAGACACTCAAAATGTTCAGAATGTGTTTGGGGGGACATAGGAACGTAATAGGACAAATACAACAAAATGAAAGACAACAGCAGAATGCAGCACTGACATAATCATAATCTGACACAATAATACAGTTTGAAAGAGCAGTTGGCACTTGTTGGTGGAATGTAAAATGTCACATGTTCATAGGCTATATAAAAGTATACTTTTAGATTAAAAAATATATATATACAAGTTTTAGAACACCTACTCATTCAAGGGTTTTTCTTTATTTTTACTATTTTCTACATTGTATAATAATAGTGAAGACATAAAAAATATGAAATAACATATGGAATCATGTAGTAACCAAAAAAGTGTTAAACAAATCAAAATATATTTTATATTTGAGATTCTTCAAATAACCACCCTTTGCCTTGATGACAGCTTTGCACACTCTTGGCATTCTCTCAACCAGCTTCACCTGGAATGCTTTTCCAACAGTCTTGAAGGAGTTCCCACATATACTGAGCACTTGTTGGCTGCTTTTCCTTAACTCTGTGGTCCGACTCATCCCAAACCATCTCAATTTGGTTGAGGTCGGGGGATTGTAGAGGCCAGGTCATCTGATGCAGCACTCCATCACTCTCCTTCTTGGTAAAATAGCCCTTACACAGCCTGGAGGTGTGTTGGGTCATTGTCCTGTTGAAAAACAGATGATAGTCCCAGCAGAGGTAACTCTGGGTCTTCCATTCCTGTGGTGGTCCTCATGAGAGCCAGTTTCATCATAGCACTTTATGGTTTTTGCGACTGCACTTGAGGAAACATTCAAAGTTCTTGAAATGTTCTGTATGGACTGACCTTCATGTCTTAAAGTAATGATGGACTGTTGTTTCTCTTTGCTTATTTGAGCTGTTCTTGCTATAATATGGACTTGGTCTTTTACCAAATAGGGCTGTCCCCCCCGTCCCCGTCCCCGTCCTCGTCTCCCCCGATGTGTCCCACTAGCTCCCATGCTCTCCTATAATATGACTGGAGTGGAGGGAATTGACTGGAGCACAACTCCCCCTAGGGCATCTTCAGACAAACTTTGGACTTGTAATGTATAACAGACAATATTATTGTCTGTTAACAGACACATTTTAGTGGTCTCGCCTGTCTCTTTGAGATTAACTGAGTTGCCTCATCTGCAATCAATTGGGATAGAGTTTGAGTCCGAAATGGCACCCTATTCCCTACATAGTGCACTACTTTTGACCAGAGCTCTATGACACTATATAGGGAATAGGGTGCCATTTGAGGCGCAGACAGAAACTCAACAGAAACTCAGCAGAAACTCAGCAGAAACTCAACAGGAACTCAGCAGAAACTCAACAGAATCTCAGAAGAAACTCAACAGAAACTCAACAGAAACTCAGCAGAAACTCAGCAGAAACTCAGGGACATTTGTTGTTCTTTCCTCTTCCTCTTTTTTTTCCTCCATCCATTGTGATGAGACTGATCTCAGTGTAAATCCCCCCTGACACCAGTCTAATGACAGTCTAATGCCATCCTATCCATGCCCCTTTCCACCACCTGGCATTGTGCAGTTAATCCAGACCAAGGCCCCCGGTGTGTTGCGTCGGCCATTTGTCTCTCATTGGAATGACTGCCTTGTAAACAGGCTGCAAAAGGTTTAGCAATGTATGTCAATGGAGACATTTACACTTCAGCTGTATGGAGACGTGCTGTAGGGTTGAGGTAGATGTCATAAAGCAGAGGGCATTGAAAATAACATTGATCACCTTTTGTGGAATATGCTTTTCTTTCAGGTGGTTGGCCCATCTATGATTGTGTGTGGAGTAACCATGTTTGAGAGTATCCTTGTTTGAGGAATAACCTGTCTGAGACTTGAAGACGCGTGTGAGCAGCACCGCAGCTAATTTCTGGACTTTAGTTCAGTGGGATAATGCTATTGTTGAGTTAAGCGGGTTCGATAACTAGTTAGTTACACTGTATCAAAGCACAACAAAGCTAACCTTCTCTCCACATGCTGTGTGTACGAGGCTCACTATTATCCCCAATAGATTCAATTACTTTGTGTGTGTGTGTGTGCGTGTGTGTGCGTGTGTGTGCGTGTGTGTGTGTGTGCCAGACCTGGGTTCAAATACTATTTAAATTATTTAAATTACAGTAAGTAAGTATTCAGATATTTTTTATAAAAAAATACAGGTAGTTGTTGGAATGTATTTGGAAATACACAGAGTATTTTCAAATACAAATAAATACTCCTATGGATTTGAACCCAGGTCCTAGGAGTATTTGGAAATAATTATTTTCAAATAGTAAGCTATTTATAGGAAATTATTTGAAAAATACTTTCATATACTTCCAACAGAAGTAGTTGATTTCGGACACTTTATTTGAAAATACTCAAGTACACAGAAAATAATAAATAATAAAATACACATTTTTAAGTCCAGGTCTGGCGTGTGTCTCTGTGTGTGCACGTAAAGCGTCTCTAAGCTCCTTTTCCTCTCTGCCCCCACAGTTCTGCTGGGTGTGTTGACGGCGTGCGCCCAGACGGAGATGAAGAGGGTTGTCGGTGACAATGCCACACTGCCCTGTCACCACCAGTTCTGGGCCGGCGACGCCCCCACACTGGACATCGAGTGGCTCCTCCTCAAGCCCAGCTCCAAGCAGAGAGTGGTGAGTGGCTCCCTTTGCTAATTGGCTTGAGGTGCATCTCAATAGTCTAAAGTGGCTTCCTCCCCTTGTCACATTTCCTCCATAACTAGACAGGTGAAAGCACATTCCTGGTATAGGCGTCTATATTTCTGTCACCTAGCCTGTGTTTTCAGATCAGTAGGAGAGGAGACAACAGGAAGCAATTTCAGACTATTGAGATGTATCATAGAACCAGAAGGAAATTATAGCATCTATTTTGTTTCTTTGTACAGGATAGAGAGACAGTAGATAGGAGGAGAGAAAGCGCTAGAGCAGTGAATCGGATTCGAACCCATGCTCGGAACGGTAGTACACCGTGAATACATGCAATCGAGAAGCAGCGACTTAGACAGCTGAACCACCCAGGCATACGTCAGCAGTGTGTCTTCTGTGAATAGATAAGCGTCCTCAGCTCTGACACAGACACAGCTACTCCCCCATCATGACATAACATACAGTACATCACCGTCTCCAGTTCATTGAGGCCTATATGGGTATATATAGGGATCCACTCTTCTCAATGGCTAGGATGCCCCCCAAAGGACTGAATCAATCTCGCATCCACTTCTCTCAACTTTGAAGATCTTTCAGCAAACTGTCTTCTTTTTAGAGTCATTCTGGTTTCACTCAACCCATTTGCACTTCTGCAAGTGGGCAGAGTTTTCTTTCCATTTGGCCTCTGGTCAAGCTAATCTCTGAGGTACCGTCAAGCTTGTTAGACCAATATGGCCGCCTCCATTCTCCCTCCACTCTCTCCCTGCAGGTTAATGAAAGTGCTGCTACAGTTTGGATAGGATAGTTTACAAGGCCTGCTATTTATCCACAGAAAATGAAACCTCATTCGCCCACTTTACAGGCTCTGCTTGGATATCCATGGTGATGTTTAATACCTGCAAAGGGGGTTATAAACTTTAAGTGCTGTGGGCGGAGAAAAATATGCATTCTTCCCTGCATTTGTTGATTTATGAATTTCCCTACATGGTCAAGTGATGAAGTAATGTCTTGTTTTGTCTTTGGGTCTGAGATAATGTAGTGGTAGACACAGTTTGTTTATATACAGTGTCTTCAGAAAGTATTCACATCACATGTTGTTGTGTTACAGCCTGAATTTAAAATGGATTAAATTTAGATGTTGTGTCACTGGCCTACACACAATACCCCATAGTGTCAAAGTGGAATTATGTTTAAAACATTGTATTTTAACACAAAATGAAAAGCTGAAATGTCTTGAGTCAATAAGTATTCAACCCCTTTGTTATGGCAAGCCTAAATAAGTTCAGGAATAAACATTTGATTAATAAGTCACATAATAAGCTGCATGGACTCACTCTGTGTGCAATAATAGTGTTTAACATGATCTTTGAATGACTGCCTCATCTCTGTACTCCACACATACAATTATCTGTAAGTGAATTTCAAACACATATTCAACCACAAAGACCAGGGAAGTTTTCCAATGCCTTGCAAAGAAGGGCATCTATTGGCAGATGGGTAAAAAAAATAAGCAGACATTGAATATCTATATATATATATATATATATATATATATATATATATATATATATATATATATATATATATATATATATACACTGCTCAAAAAAATTAAGGGAACACTTAAACAACACAATGTAACTCCAAGTCAATCACACTTCTGTGAAATCAAACTGTCCACTTAGGAAGCAACACTGATTGACAATACATTTCACATGCTGTTGTGCAGATGGAATAGACAACAGGTGGAAATTATAGGCAATTAGCAAGACACCTCCAATAAAGGACTGGTTTTGCAGGTGGTGACACAGACCACTTCTCAGTTCCTATGCTTCCTGGCTGATGTTTTGGTCACTTTTGAATGCTGGCGGTGCTTTCACTCTAGTGGTAGCATGAGACGGAGTCTACAACCCACACAAGTGGCTCAGGTAGTGCAGCTCATCCAGGATGGCACATCAATGCGAGCTGTGGCAAGAAGGTGTCTGTCAGCGTAGTGTCCAGAGCATGGAGGCGCTACCAGGAGACAGGCCATTACATCAGGAGACGTGGAGGAGGCCGTAGGAGGGCAACAACCCAGCAGCAGGACTGCTACCTCCGCCTTTGTGCAAGGAGGAGCAGGAGGAGCACTGCCAGAGCCCTGCAAAATGACCTCCAGCAGGCCACAAATGTGCATGTGTCTGCTCAAATGGTCAGAAACAGACTCCATGAGGGTGGTATGAGGGCCCGACGTCCACAGGTGGGGATTGTGCTTACAGCCCAACACCGTGCAGGACGTTTGGCATTTGCCAGAGAACACCAAGTTTGGCAAATTCGCCACTGGCGCCCTGTGCTCTTCACAGATGAAAGCAGGTTCACACTGAGCACGTGACAGACGTGACAGAGTCTGGAGACGCCGTGGAGAACGTTCTGCTGCCTGCAACATCCTCCAGCATGACTGGTTTGGCGGTGGGTCAGTCATGGTGTGGGGTGGCATTTCTTTGGGGGGCCGCACAGCCCTCCATGTGTTTGCCTGAGATAGCCTGACTGCCATTAGGTACCGAGATGAGATCCTCAGACCCCTTGTGAGACCATATGCTGGTGCGGTTGGCCCTGGGTTCCTCCTAATGCAAGACAATGTTAGACCTCATGTGGCTGGAGTGTGTCAGCAGTTCCTGCAAGAGGAAGGCATTGATGCTATGGACTGGCCCGCCCGTTCCCCAGACCTGAATCCAATTGAGCACATCTGGGACATCATGTCTCGCTCCATCCACCAACGCCACGTTGCACCACAGACTGTCCAGGAGTTGGCGGATGCTTTAGTCCAGGTCTGGGAGGAGATCCCTCAGGAGACCATCCGCCACCTCATCAGGAGCATGCCCGGGCGTTGTAGGGAGGTCATACAGGCACGTTGAGGCCACACACACTACTGAGCCTAATTTTGACTTGTTTTAAGGACATTACATCAAAGTTGGATCAGCCTGTAGTGTGGTTTTCCACTTTAATTTTGAGGGTGACTCCAAATCCAGACCTCCATGGGTTGATAAATTTGATTTCCATTGATAATTTTTGTGTGATTTTGTTGTCAGCACATTCAACTATGTAAAGAAAAAAGTATTGAATAAGATTATTTCATTCATTCAGATCTAGGATGTGTTATTTTAGTGTTCCCTTTATTTTTTTTAGCAGTGTATACAGTAGGGGAAAAAAGTATTTAGTCAGCCACCAATTGTGCAAGTTCTCCCACTTAAAAAGATGAGAGAGGCCTGTAAGTTTCATCATAGGTACACGTCAACTATGACAGACAAATTGAGAATTTTTTTCTCCAGAAAATCACATTGTAGGATTTTTAATGAATTTATTTGCAAATTATGGTGGAAAATAAGTATTTGGTCACCTACAAACAAGCAAGATTTCTGGCTCTCACAGACCTGTAACTTCTTCTTTAAGAGGCTCCTCTGTCCTCCACTCGTTACCTGTATTAATGGCACCTGTTTGAACTTGTTATCAGTATAAAAGACACCTGTCCACAACCTCAAACAGTCACACTCCAAACTCCACTATGGCCAAGACCAAAGAGCTGTCAAAGGACACCAGAAACAAAATTGTAGACCTGCACCAGGCTGGGAAGACTGAATCTGCAATAGGTAAGCAGCTTGGTTTGAAGAAATCAACTGTGGGAGCAATTATTAGGAAATGGAAGACATACAAGACCACTGATAATCTCCCTCGATCTGGGGCTCCACGCAAGATCTCACCCTGTGGGGTCAAAATGATCACAAGAACGGTGAGCAAAAATCCCAGAACCACACGGGGGGACCTAGTGAATGACCTGCAGAGAGCTAGGACCAAAGTAACAAAGCCTACCATCAGTAACACACTACGCCACTAGGGACTCAAATCCTGCAGTGCCAGACGTGTCCCCCTGCTTAAGCCAGTACATGTCCAGGCCCGTCTGAAGTTTGCTAGAGTGCATTTGGATGATCCAGAAGAGGATTGGGAGAATGTCATATGGTCAGATTAAACCAAAATATAACTTTTTGGTAAAAACTCAACTTGTCGTGTTTGGAGGACAAAGAATGCTGAGTTGCATCCAAAGAACACCATACCTACTGTGAAGCATGGGGGTGGAAACATCATGCTTTGGGGCTGTTTTTCTGCAAAGGGACCAGGACGACTGATCCGTGTAAAGGAAAGAATGAATGGGGCCATGTATCGTGAGATTTTGAGTGAAAACCTCCTTCCATCAGCAAGGGCATTGAAGATGAAACGTGGCTGGGTCTTTCAGCATGACAATGATCCCAAACACACCGCCCGGGCAACGAAGGAGTGGCTTCGTAAGAAGCATTTCAAGGTCCTGGAGTGGCCTAGTCAGTCTCCAGATCTCAACCCCATAGAAAATCTTTGGAGGGAGTTGAAAGTCCGTGTTGCCCAGCGACAGCCCCAAAACATCACTGCTCTAGAGGAGATCTGCATGGAGGAATGGGCCAAAATACCAGCAACAGTGTGTGAAAACCTTGTGAAGACTTACAGAAAACGTTTGACCTGTGTCATTGCCAATATATATATTGGTCTTCACAAAGTTTGCTGCTTCAGTGTTTTTAGATATTTTTGTCAGATGTTACTATGGTATACTGAAGTATAATTACAAGCATTCCATAAGTGTCAAAGGCTTTTATTGACAATTACATTAAGTTTATGCAAAGAGTCAATATTTGCAGTGTTGACCCTTCTTTTTCAAGACCTCTGCAATCCGCCCTGGCATGCTGTCAATTAACTTCTGGGCCACATCCTGACTGATGGCAGCCCATTCTTGCATAATCAATGCTTGGAGTTTGTCAGAATTTGTAGGGTTTTGTTTGTCCACCTGCCTCTTGAGGATTGACCACAAGTTCTCAATGGGATTAAGGTCTGGGGAGTTTCCTGGCCATGGACCCAAAATTTCGATGTTTTGTTCCCCGAGCCACTTAGTTATCACCTTAGCCTTATGGCAAGGTGCTCCATCATGCTGGAAAAGGCATTGTTCGTCACCAAACTGTTCTTGGATGGTTGGGAGAAGTTGCTCTCGGAGGATGTGTTGGTACCATTCTTTATTCATGGCTGTGTTCTTAGGCAAACTTGTGAGTGAGCCCACTCCCTTGGCTGAGAAGCAACCCCACACATTAATGGTCTCAGGATGCTTTACTGTTGGCATGACACAGGACTGATGGTAGCGCACACTCCGGACAAGCTTTTTTCCGGATGCCCAAAACAATCGGAAAGGGGATTCATCAGAGAAAATGACTTTACCCCAGTCCTCAGCAGTCCAATCCCTGTACCTTTTGCAGAATATCAGTCTGTCCCTGATGTTTTTCCTGGAGAGAAGTGGCTTCCTCGCTGCCCTTCTTGACACCAGGCCATCCTCCAAAAGTCTTCGCCTCACTGTGCGTGCAGATGCACTCACACCTGCCTGCTGCCATTCCTGAGCAAGCTCTGCACTGGTGGTGCCCCGATTCCGCAGCTGAATCAACTTTAGGAGACGGTCCTGGCGTTTGCTGGACTTTCTTGGGCGATCTGACGCCTTCTTCACAACAATTGAACCTCTCTCCTTGAAGTTCTTGATGATCCGATAAATGGTTGATTTAGGTGCAATCTTACTAGCAGCAATATCCTTGCCTGTGAAGCCCTTTATGTGCAAAGCAATGATGATGGCACGTGTTTCCTTGCAGGTAACCATGGTTAACAGAGGAAGAACAATGATTTCAAGCACCACCCTCCTTTTAAAGCTTCCAGTCTGTTATTCTAACTCAATCAGCATGTCAGGCTGATCTCCAGCCATGTCCTCGTCAACACTCTCACCTGTGTTAACAAGAGAATCACTGACATGATGTCAGCTGGTCCTTTTGTGGCAGGGCTGAAATGCAGTGGAAATGTTTTTTTTTTTGGATTAAGTTCATTTTCATGGCAAATCATCTGATCACTCTTCATAACATTCTGGAGTATATGCAAACTTTGTGAAAATTAATATTTGTGTCATTCTCAAAACTTTTGACCACGACTGTACAATCCAGGTGTGCAAAGCTCTTAGAGATTTACCCAGAAAGACTCACAGCTATAATGACTGCCAAAGGTGATTCAAACATGTATTGACTCAGGGGTGTGAATACTTATGTAAATAAAATATTTATGTATTTAATTTTCAATATATGTGCAAACATTTCTAAATGTATGTTTTCACTTTGTCATTATGGGGTATTGTGTGTAGATGGGTGAGAATTTTGTTTTATCCATTTTGAATTCAGTCTGTAACACAACAAAATGTGTAATAAGTAAAGGGGTGTGAATACTTTCTGAAGGCACTGTAGCACAGCATGTGGTATGATCACCACATAATCACAATAATATGATAACTGTACTGACAATGACTGACAATGATTGACAATGGTCATTAGCATACCTCATTCATTCCCCCTAAGTGAGGCATATTTGCGTGTCACCTACACATATACACAATCTTTCCCCAGATAACCATGTGTACAGAACCACAGTTTCCACTCTCCCACACAAGTCCTGCAATGCCCAGCCAGAACCTCTAACACTAACCCTTATCTCTCTGTACCTCATTCCCGCTCTCCCCGCCAGGTGATCACCTACTTTGCGGGCCGGGTGTACGACCCCAACGAGGCGGAGGCGGGCCGGCTGTCCTTAGCCGGGGACTACCTCAAGGGGGACGCCTCCCTGCTGATCAGTGACCTCACACTGGGCGACTCAGGCGAGTACAGCTGCAAGGTGAAGAACGGGGGGAAGTACCAATGGAGCACGGTCAACCTCATAGTACTGGGTAAGTACCAATGGACCACGGTCAACCTCATAGTACTGGGTAAGTACCAATGGAGCACGGTCAACCTCATAGTACTGGGTAAGTCCCAATGGAGCACGGTCAACCTCATAGTACTGGGTAAGTCCCAATGGAGCACGGTCAACCTCATAGTACTGGGTAAGTCCCAATGGAGTACGGTCAACCTCATAGTACTGGGTAAGTCCCAATGGAGCACGGTCAACCTCATAGTACTGGGTAAGTACCAATGGAGCACGGTCAACCTCATAGTACTGGGTAAGTACCAATGGAGCACGGTCAACCTCAAAGTAAGTCCTGGACCCACTGTGTATTTTTTTCTGACTAACATTTGTATGATTTTTCACACAATCGAAACAAAATGAAAAATATGAATAACATTCCACCCATGAGGCCACTAGGTCATTTGACTGCAGGAAAGGGCCACATGCTAATGTGGTGGATATAAATGATAGAGGTGATACTATCCCTTGTCCCTTCATACTGTGGTTGACTGACAATGACCACACAAACACTGTTGGTGAGATGTTTGAATCACTACCTAACTATCCTGTTGCTGTCACTGAAGGATACGATGGCAGTTACTTGTCACGTACTTGTGAAAGCGAAAATTAGCTCCAAAGGGTAGACACTGGACCACTGCCACATGTTGCTACCGATCCAAATCCCTAATTGTGCAGCGATAAGGAGAGATAAAAGCGTAAGTAGCACCTGTGACACTGTGATACAGCATCTAGCTGTGTATGGCTCTGGTATATAGCTCTCTCCAGCCTGCCCTCCCCTCCCACGGTCTCCCACAGTAAGATGTTGAGGGAGTGCGCCACACATTTATGCATACATTTGTACAAATTGGCCCGCAGATTTGAAACGCCACTTTCGATTTTTAGTGAGACAAACATTAGCGTTCGTCTTGTTCAACGGTAAGATAATGGGATGGGGGGATTGGGGTTGGGGGGTGGTGGGAAGTGGTACTGACGCAGGAACAAGATGGAGGGCCCCGCCTCCTCCTCCCCCTTCTCCTCAGCCCCCCTAATTGCATCCTGGTTAGAATGCACCCTACTCAGCAAAATGAAGAGAGATCAGGGGAAGAGAGGTCCGTGATAGAGAGAGGGAGGTGGATGTTGTGGAGGTGTGGTCTAAGCAGGCATTGTTGTATTTATCTCACTTATACAGTGCATTCGGAAAGTATTCAGACCCCTTCCCTTTTTCCACATTTTGTTACGTTACAGCCTTATTCTAAAATGGATTAAATTAGGTTTTTTCCTCATCAATCTACACACAATACCCCATAATGCGAAAACAGGTTTTTAGAAAACAGAAATACCTTATTTACATAAGTATTCAGACCATTTGCCATGAGACTCGAAATGGAGCTCAGGTGCATCCTGTTTCCATTGATCATCCTTGAGATGTTTCTACACTTGATTGGAGTCCACCTGTGGTAATTTGGAAAGGCACACACCTGTCTATATAAGGTCCCACAGTTGACAGTACATGTCAGAGCAGAAACCAAGCCATGAGGTCGAAGGAATTGTCCGTAGAGCTCAGAGACAGGATTGTGTCGAGGCACAGATCTGGGGAAGGGTACCCCAAGAATTCTGTAGCATTGAAGGTCCCCAAGAACACAGTGTCCTCCATTATTCTTAAATGGAAGAAGTTTGGAACTACCAAGACTCTTCCTAGAACTGGCCGCCCGGCCAAACTGAGCAATCAGGGAGAAGGACCTTGTTCAGGGAGGTGACCAAGAACCCGATGGTCACTCTGTCAGACCTCCAGAGTTCCTCTGTGGAGATGGGAGAACCTTCCAGAAGGACACCCATCTCTGCAGCACTCCACCAATCAGGCCTTTATGGTAGAGTGGCCAGACGGAAGCCACTCCTCAGTAAAAGGCACATGACAGCCCGGACTCTCAGACCATGAGAAACAAGATTCTCTGGTCTGATGAAACCAAGATTTAACTCTTTGTTCATAGGGATATTTGTTTTCAGTTGGCAATAATACATTCCTTTGATATCAATGTCTCAATGTGGTTTCCTGCAGGAATGACCATAGTTACAAAGTACCAAAAATACAACAGAACCACTGGTTCATGCTAGTTGGTCTATCTAGTAGGAGATTCTGTGACTTGTTAGTGATGCACCAGTCAATTTGGTCATTATTGCTAATTTCATTTTAGTAGATTACTTTATACTGCTGTAAGCACTCAGTAATGACATACATATAGTAAATGCTTAATGAATGTATTTAATGATAGCAGGGCAAAACACTTGCTAACACTCACATTCTGTTCAACATGACATCATTTACATGGTGAAGAGCATGAAGCCACTGAAGATGTTACGGTTGTTTGAATCATCATACAGCCTGCAGTTTCCAGGTAGATGCATGTAGACGACATCTCCTTCCTCTAACTCAAGGACAGCTGCATTAGATGCATACTCCCAATTCCCATCAGCATCAACATTTTCATATGTGACCATTACTCTCTGGTCAAGTATACACCCATCCATGATACCACATGCAGTGAATCTAAAGTAGTAGACTCCTCTCTCACTGGTGCTGTGAAGATACCTGTATGACAAAAACATTATATTATATATTCATTCATATGTGTATATATACTGAACAAAAATATAAATGCAACATGCAACAATTTCAACTATTTTACTGAGTTACAGTTCATATAAGGAAATCAGTCAATTGAAATAAATTCATTAGGCCCTAATCTATGGATTTCACATGACTGGGCAGGAGCGCAGCCATGGGTAGGCCTGGCCCACCCACTTGAGAGACAGGCCCACCCACTTGGGAGCCAGGCCCACCCACTTGGGAACCCGGCCCAGCCAATCAGAATGAGTTTTTCCCCACAAAAGGGCTTTATTACAGACATAAATACTCCTCAGTTTCATCAGCTGTCCAGGTGGCTGGTCTTAGACAATCCCACAGGTGAAGAAGCCGGATGTGGAGGTCCTGGGCTGACGTGGTTACACGTGGTCTGTGGTTATTGAGGCCGGTTTGACGTACTGCCAAATTCTCTAAAACAACGTTGGAGGTGGCTTATGGTAGAGAAATTAACATTAATTTCTCTGGCAACAGCTCTGGTGGACATTCCTGCAGTCAGCATGCCAATTGTGCGCTCCCTCAAAACTTGAGACATCCATGCCATTGTGTTGTGTGACAAAACTGAACATTTTAGGGTGGCTTTTATTGTCCCCAGCACAAGGTGCACCTGTGTAATGATCATGCTGTTTAATCAGCTTCTTGATATGCCACACCTGTCAGGTGGATGGATTATCTTGGCAAAGGAGAAATGTTCACTGACAGAGATGTAAACAAATTTGTGCACAACATTTGAGAGAAATAAGCTTTTTGTGCATATGGAAACATTCTGGGATATTTTATTTCAGCTCATGAAACATGGGACCAACACTTTACATGTTGCGTTTATATTTATGAAATAGTCATCAAATATTTGCAAAGGATACACAATGCAGTACTACCTGTAATGTTGATGTAAGCCCTGTCAATGTTCGTGAAGACTTTGCTATAGGTCAGAGTAGTGTCACTGCTGATGGGTCCTACAATACCAGTCAGAGCAGTGGAGAACGCTACCTTTGGTCAGTCTTTAAATATGGATGAGCAATTACAACAATCAAGCAAACATCTTATTATTATTGCATATATAGTATCTTATTATATGATGCCAAATCACAAATTTTTTATTTAGCAACTTTGGTTTGAGAACAGTTTACATTTTTTATTCTACTTTGTTTTAATAGAATACAGACAACCATTTGGGACTCTCTTCAGTTCCTCTACCTCTTTCTCAGTGGTTGTCAGTCTGGCCTCCATGGTTGAAAGCTCTGCTGCTAGTACTGGAATTGTAATATTAAAAACCAATAAGAATATGAGATATGTTTGGATTTCTATCTCAAAGCTAACATACAGTATGTACATTATGTATTACAACCTGTGTTCTCTCTCTTTAGTTCCTCCACTTCTTTCTCACTGGTTGTCAGTCTCACTGGTTGTCTGTCTGGTCTCACTGGTTGTCAGCTCTGCTGCTTGTGCTGGACATGTTGAAATAAGTAAAAACAAAGGATAAACAATGTTACTACTAATTTGACAGCTTTATTTACTGGCTTCAAGTTATCTGTCTCTTGTAGAAGGTTGTCAGGTTATTTGCCTCTTGTAGAAGGTTGTCAGGTTGTCTGTCTCTTGTAGAAGGTTGTCAGGTTGTTTGTCTCTTGTAGAAGGTTGTCAGGTTGTCTGTCTCTTGAAAAAGGTTGTCAGGTTGTCTGTCTCTTGTAGAAGGTTGTCAGGTTGTTTGTCTCTTGTAGAAGGTTGTCAGGTTGTCTGTCGCTTGTAAAAGGTTGTCAGGTTGTCTGTCTCTTTTAGAAGGTTGTCAGGTTGTTTGTCTCTTGTAGAAGGATGTCAGGTTGTTTCTCTCTTGTAGAAGGTTGTCAGCTTGTCTGTCTCTTATAGAAGGTTGTCAGGTTGTCTGTCTCTTGTAGAAGGATGTCAGGTTGTTTCTCTCTTGTAGAAGGTTGTCAGCTTGTTTGTCTCTTTTAGAAGGTTGTCAGGTTGTCTGTCTCTTGTAGAAGGTTGTCAGGTTGTTTGTCTCTTGTAGAAGGATGTCAGGTTGTTTCTCTCTTGTAGAAGGTTGTCAGCTTGTCTGTCTCTTATAGAAGGTTGTCAGGTTGTCTGTCTCTTGTAGAAGGATGTCAGGTTGTTTCTCTCTTGTAGAAGGTTGTCAGCTTGTCTGTCTCTTATAGAAGGTTGTCAGGTTGTCTGTCTCTTGTAGAAGGATGTCAGGTTGTTTCTCTCTTGTAGAAGGTTGTCAGCTTGTCTGTCTCTTATAGAAGGTTGTCAGGTTGTCTGTCTCTTGTAGAAGGATGTCAGGTTGTTTCTCTCTTGTAGAAGGTTGTCAGGTTGTCTGTCGCTTGTAAAAGGTTGTCAGGTTGTCTGTCTCTTGTAGAAGGTTGTCAGGACGTTTGTCTCTCTTAGAAGGTTGTCAGGTTGTTTGTCTCTTGTAGAAGGTTGTCAGCTTGTCTGTCTCTTATAGAAGGTTGTCAGGTTGTCTGTCTCTTGTAGAAGGATGTCAGGTTGTTTCTCTCTTGTAGAAGTTTGTCAGGATGTTTGTCTCTTTTAGAAGGTTGTCAGGTTGTTTGTCTCTTGTAGAAGGTTGTCAGGTTGTCTGTCTCTTGTAGAAGGTTGTCAGGTTGTTTGTCTCTTTTAGAAGGTTGTCAGGTTGTTTGTTTCTTGTAGAAGGTTGCCAGGTTGTTTGTCTCTTGTAGAAGGTTGTCAGGTTGTCTGTCTATTGTAGGTTGTTAGGTAGTTTGTCTTTTGTAGAAGGTTGTCAGGTTGTTTGTCTCTTGTAGAAGGTTGTCAGGTTGTTTGTCTCTTTTAGAAGGTTGTCAGGTTGTCTGTCTCTTGTAGAAGGTTGTCAGGTTGTTTGTCTCTTGTAGAAGGATGTCAGGTTGTTTCTCTCTTGTAGAAGGATGTCAGGTTGTCTATCTCTTGTAGAAGGTTGTCAGGTTGTTTGTCTCTTGTAGAAGGTTGTCAGGTTGTCTGTCTCTTGTAGAAGGTTGTCAGGATGTTTGTCTCTTCTAGAAGGATGTCAGGTAGTTTCTCTCTTGTAGAAGGATGTCAGGTTGTTTGTCTCTTTTAGAAGGTTGTCAGGTTGTCTGTCTCTTGTAAAAGGTTGTCAGGTTGTTTGTCTCTTTTAGAAGGTTGTCAGGTTGTCTGTCTCTTGTAGAAGGTTGTCAGGATGTTTGTGTCTTGTAGAAGGTTGTCAGGTTGTTTCTCTCTTGTAGAAGGTTGTCAGGTTGTCTGTCTTTTGTAGAAGGTTGTCAGGTTGTTTGTGTCTTGTAGAAGGTTGTCAGGTTGTTTCTCTCTTGTAGAAGGTTGTCAGGTTGTTTGTCTCTTGTAGAAGATTGTCAGGTTGTCTGTCTCTTGTAGAAGGTTGTCTGGTTGTTTGTCTCTTTTAGAAGGTTGTCAGGTTGTCTGTCTCTTGTAGAAGGTTGTCAGGATGTTTCTCTCTTGTAGAAGGTTGTCAGGTTGTCTGTCTCTTGTAAAAGGTTGTCAGGTTGTTTGTCTCTTGTAGAAGGATGTCAGGTTGTTTCTCTGTTGTAGAAGGTTGGCAGGTTGTTTGTCTCTTGTAGAAGATTATCAGGTTGTTTGTTTCTTGTAGAAGGTTGCCAGGTTGTTTGTCTCTTTTAGAAGGTTGTCAGGTTGTTTGTCTCTTGTAGGTTGTTAGGTGTTTGTCTCTTGTGGAAGGTTGTCAGGTTGTTTGTCTCTTGTAGAAGGTTGTCAGGTTGTTTGTCTCTTGTAGAAGGATGTCAGGTTGTTTCTCTCTTGTAGAAGGATGTCAGGTTGTCTATCTCTTGTAGAAGGTTGTCAGGTTGTTTGTCTCTTGTAGAAGGTTGTCAGGTTGTCTGTCTCTTGTAGAAGGTTGTCAGGATGTTTGTCTCTTCTAGAAGGATGTCAGGTAGTTTCTCTCTTGTAGAAGGATGTCAGGTTGTTTGTCTCTTTTAGAAGGTTGTCAGGTTGTTTGTCTCTTTTAGAAAGTTGTCAGGTTGTCTGTCTTTTGTAGAAGGTTGTCAGGTTGTTTGTCTCTTGTAAAAGGTTGTCAGGTTGTATGTCTCTTGTAGAAGGTTGTCAGGTTGTCTGTCTCTTGTAGAAGGTTGTCAGGTTGTTTGTCTCTTGTAGAAGGTTGTCAGGTTGTCTGTCGCTTGTAAAAGGTTGTCAGGTTGTCTGTCTCTTGTAGAAGGTTGTCAGGATGTTTGTCTCTCTTAGAAGGTTGTCAGGTTGTTTGTCTCTTGTAGAAGGTTGTCAGCTTGTCGGTCTCTTATAGAAGGTTGTCAGGTTGTCTGTCTCTTGTAGAAGGATGTCAGGTTGTTTCTCTCTTGTAGAAGGTTGTCAGGTTGTTTGTCTCTTGTAGAAGGTGGTCAGGTTGTCTGTCTCTTGTAGAAGGATGTCAGGTAGTTTCTCTCTTTTAGAAGGTTGTCAGGTTGTTTGTCTCTTTTAGAAGGTTGTCAGGTTGTCTGTCTCTTGTAGAAGTTGTCAGGTTGTTTGTCTCTTGTAGAAGGATGTCAGGTTGTTTCTCTCTTGTAGAAGGTTGTCAGCTTGTCTGTCTCTTATAGAAGGTTGTCAGGTTGTCTGTCTCTTGTAGAAGGATGTCAGGTTGTTTCTCTCTTGTAGAAGGTTGTCAGGTTGTCTGTCGCTTGTAAAAGGTTGTCAGGTTGTCTGTCTCTTGTAGAAGGTTGTCAGGATGTTTGTCTCTCTTAGAAGGTTGTCAGGTTGTTTGTCTCTTGTAGAAGGTTGTCAGCTTGTCTGTCTCTTATAGAAAGTTGTCAGGTTGTCTGTCTCTTGTAGAAGGATGTCAGGTTGTTTCTCTCTTGTAGAAGGTTGTCAGGTTGTCTGTCTCTTGTAGAAGGATGTCAGGTTGTCTGTCTCTTGTAGAAGGATGTCAGGTTGTTTGTCTCTTTTAGAAGGTTGTCAGGTTGTCTGTCTCTTGTAGAAGGTTGTCAGGTTGTTTGTCTCTTGTAGAAGGTTGTCAGGTTGTCTGTCTCTTGTAGAAGTTTGTCAGGATGTTTGTCTCTTTTAGAAGGTTGTCAGGTTGTTTGTCTCTTGTAGAAGGTTGTCAGGTTGTCTGTCTCTTGTAGAAGGTTGTCAGGTTGTTTGTCTCGTTTAGAAGGTTGTCAGGTTGTTTGTTTCTTGTAGAAGGTTGCCAGGTTGTTTGTCTCTTGTAGAAGGTTGTCAGGTTGTCTGTCTATTGTAGGTTGTTAGGTAGTTTGTCTCTTGTAGAAGGTTGTCAGGTTGTTTGTCTCTTGTAGAAGGTTGTCAGGTTGTTTGTCTCTTTTAGAAGGTTGTCAGGTTGTCTGTCTCTTGTAGAAGGTTGTCAGGTTGTTTGTCTCTTGTAGAAGGATGTCAGGTTGTTTCTCTCTTGTAGAAGGTTGTCAGGTTGTTTGTCTCTTGTAGAAGGTTGTCAGGTTGTTTGTCTCTTGTAGAAGGATGTCAGGTTGTTTCTCTCTTGTAGAAGGATGTCAGGTTGTCTATCTCTTGTAGAAGGTTGTCAGGTTGTTTGTCTCTTGTAGAAGGTTGTCAGGTTGTCTGTCTCTTGTAGAAGGTTGTCAGGATGTTTGTCTCTTCTAGAAGGATGTCAGGTAGTTTCTCTCTTGTAGACGGATGTCAGGTTGTTTGTCTCTTTTAGAAGGTTGTCAGGTTGTTTGTCTCTTTTAGAAAGTTGTCAGGTTGTCTGTCTTTTGTAGAAGGTTGTCAGGTTGTTTGTCTCTTGTAAAAGGTTGTCAGGTTGTTTGTCTCTTGTAGAAGGTTGTCAGGTTGTTTGTCTCTTGTAGAAGGTTGTCAGGTTATTTCTCTCTTGTAGAAGGTTGTCAGGTTGTTTGTCTCTTGTAGAAGATTGTCAGGTTGTCTGTCTCTTGTAGAAGGTTGTCTGGTTGTTTGTCTCTTTTAGAAGGATGTCAGGTTGTTTCTCTGTTGTAGAAGGTTGCCAGGTTGTTTGTCTCTTGTAGAAGATTATCAGGTTGTTTGTTTCTTGTAGAAGGTTGCCAGGTTGTTTGTCTCTTTTAGAAGGTTGTCAGGTTGTTTGTCTCTTGTAGGTTGTTAGGTAGTTTGTCTCTTGTGGAAGGTTGTCAGGTTGTTTGTCTCTTGTAGAAGGTTGTCAGGTTGTTTGTCTCTTGTAGAAGGTTGTCAGGTTGTCTGTCTCTTGTAGAAGGTTGTCAGGTTGATTGTCTATTGTTCCTCTCTCTGCTCATCCATCTGGCTTCAATGGCTAACATAAATTCACTACCTGTTGGAGTAACCTTCATTCTCCCCCTTCTGCTCCTTCATCTGGTTCTTCGTGAACTGTAGTTCAGTCTTGGTGACGCTCAGCTCCACTTTTAGATCAACCGCCTGACTCTCACTGGTCTTCAGGCTGGCCTCCATGTTCCTCAGCTCCACTCTCTGTTCCACCATGATGGTTCCCAGGTTGTGCACTATGTCTCTCAGGTGTTTCAGCTCAGTCCAGATGTCAGGTTGGGTGGTGGTCTGTGTGTCTGAAGTTTTGGTCTTCTGACTCTCATAGTGAACTTCACTCCCCTCCTCCCTCTCTCCCTGAGCCCATGATGCCCCAGACACACACAGCAGCAACACCAGTGGAACTACAGAAGCCCTCATTCTGACAACACTCACACCTTCTAATGTACACTACATGACCAAAAGTATGTGGATACCTGCTCGTCAAACATCTCATTCCAAAATCATGGGCATTAATATGGAGTTGGTCCCCCCTTTGCTGCTATAACAGCCTCCACTGTTATAGCATTGCTGCGGGGACTTGCTTCCATTCAGCCAGAAGAGCATTAGTGAGGTCGGGCACTGATGTTTGGCGATTAGGCCTGGCTCGCAGTCGGCGTTCCAATTAATCCCAAAGGTGTTCGATGGGGTTGAGGTCAGGGCACTGTGCAGGCCAGTCAAGGTCTTCCACACCGATCTCGACAAACCATTTCTGAATGGACCTCGCATTGTGCACAGGGGCATTGTCATGCTGAAAAAGGAAAGGGCCTTCCCCAAACTGTTGCCACAAAGTTGGAAGCATAGAATCGTCTAGAATGTCATTGTATACTGTAGCGTTAAGATTTCCCTTCACTGGAACTAAGGGGCCTAGCCCGAACCATGTAAAACAGCCCCAGACAATTATTCCTTCTCCACCAAACTTTACAGTTGGCACAGTAGCATTCTCCTGGCATCCGCCAAACCCAGATTCGTCCGTCGGACTGCCAGACGGTGAAGGGTGATTCATCACTCCAGAGAACGAGTTTCCACTGCTCCAGAGTCCAATAGCGGCGAGCTTTACACCACTACAGCCAACGCTTGGCATTGCGCATGGTGATCATAGGCTTGTGTGCGGCTGCTCGGCCATGGAAACCCATTTCATGAAGCTCCCGACAAACAGTTTTTCTGCTGACGTTGCTTCCAGAGGCAGTTTGGAACTCAGTAGTGAGTGTTGCAACCGAGGACAGACGATTTTTACGCACTACGTGCTTCGGCACTCGTCGGTCCCGTTCTGTGAGCTTGTGTGGCCTACCACTTCCCAGCGAGCCGTTGTTGCTCCTAGACATTTCCACTTCACAATAACAGCACTTACAGTTGACCTGGGCAGCTCTAGCAGGGCAGAAATTTGATGAACTGACTTGTTGGAAAGGTGGCATCCTATGACGGTGGATCTTTGGAGGAATACAGTGTCTGTAATGTATGGGTATCTGGGGATATGCGGTTGTTACAATATATCAATCTGGAAGCACATAGAAATGACAGAGACATTGTAAACTTTTTATGCATTTATTAGTGGGAATGAACATGGTTGGTCTCTCATCCACACATTTAAGCACCGTTTAAAATAATATAATTTATGTCCGAAAACTCATCAGTGTTCGGTTGCACATACTGGAGCGGTTAAATGGACATTTCACCACTTTTCAACCTCATATTCATCATCTCCAGCACCACCCCAACATCAAATGTGAAAACAGCGGGTTTCTATGTTTTGTATTAAAATATATAGATGAAAATAAGCGTTTCCAATTAAATCTTCCAGTGGGCATCATGTCGTCCCTTTAAGCCTAGTCTTGTACTAAATTGCCCTTTTAAACTGGACTAATAAAAATTGAATTTCTCAAACATGGTTTAAATGTGTACGCGTGCTTGATCAAGTTTGTTCATAGGGAGATATGTTGTGAAGTTATTGTGAGAGAACCGGTAATTATAGAGTACCAAAAATACAACAGAACCACTGGTTCATGTACATACAGTTCTAGTCTAGAGACTTAACATGCTGGTTGGTCTATCTAGTAGGACATTCTATGACCTCAGACTTGTTAGTGATGCACCAGTCAACTTGGTCATTATTGCTAATTTCATATTGGTAGATTACTTTATACTGCTGTAAGCACTCAGTAATGACAGACATAGAGTACATACTTAATGAATGTTTTTAATGATAGCAGGGCAAAACACTTGCTAACACTCACATTCTGTTCAACATGACATAATTTACATGGTGAAGAGCAGAAAGCCACTGAAGGTATTACAGTGATTTGAGTAATCATCATACAGCCTGGCGCTGGAAGGGAGACGCATACAGACGACATCTCCTTCCTCTAACTCAAGGACAGCTGCATTAGATGCATACTCCCAATTCCCATCAGCATCAACATTTTCATATGTGACCATTACTCTCTGGTCATTCTTATACAAGTATACACCCATCCATGTATCCATGATACCACAGGCAGTGAATCTAAAGTAGTAGACTCCTTTTACTGGTGCTGTGAAGATACCTGTATGACAAAAAAATCATATTGTATATTCATTCATATGTACAGTATATACAGTATGCTATAATTAAATAATCATCAAATATTTTAAATGGATACACAATGTGGTACCTGTAATGTTATTGTAAGCCTTTCCGATGTTTGTGAAGACTTTGCTGTAGGTCAGAGTAGTATGACTGCTGATTGGTCCTACAGTACCAGTCAGAGCAGTGAAGAACGCTACCTTTGGTCTGTCTTGCCAATAGAAGATTGACATAAAGTGTAGTCAACTTTTGTTCTAAGGGCAAAATAATCTGATAGCTAGCTTGCTCTGATTAGCATGTTGTTTGTAGCTTGCTACATTTGACTCTTTGCTTCAAGTCAGGAGACCAGTTGTATCTTAGAGATATTGTCACATTTATCTGACTATTGTAACACAAAAATGATTTGAAAACGTTACGACTTGTAACTAAAAGTTTTATTTACAAGATTCTCAGTTCAAACCGCCACCATGTTTTCAATAGTTGTGCATCTGTTAAACTCCGCCCATTGACCTTTTAGAAACCAATCAGATATGTTCTGCCCTAAAAACAAAGTTGACTACACTTTGTCAACTTGCCTGTCAATATGGAGAGGAGACACAGTTCATGTATTATTACAGTGGGGAAAAAAAGTATTTAGTCAGCCACCAATTGTGCAAGTTCTCCCACTTAAAAAGATGAGAGAGTCCTGTAATTTTCATCATAGGTACACGTCAACTATGACAGACAAAATGAGAAAAGAAATTCCAGAAAATCACATTGTAGGATTTTTAATGAATTTATTTGCAAATTATGGTGGAAAATAAGTATTTGGTCAATAACAAAAGTTTCTCAATACTTTGATATATACCCTTTGTTGGCAATGACACAGGTCAAACGTTTTCTGTAAGTCTTCACAAGGTTTTCACACACTGTTGCTGGTATTTTGGCCCATTCCTCCATGCAGATCTCCTCTAGAGCAGTGATGTTTTGGGGCTGTCGCTGGGCAACACGGATTTTCAACTCCCTCCAAAGATTTTCTATGGGGTTGAGATCTGGAGACTGGCTAGGCCACTCCAGGACCTTGAAATGCTTCTTACGAAGCCACTCCTTCGTTGCCCGGGCGGTGTGTTTGGGATCATTGTCATGCTGAAAGACCCAGCCACGTTTCATCTTCAATGCCCTTGCTGATGGAAGGAGGTTTTCACTCAAAATCTCACGATACATGGCCCCATTCATTCTTTCCTTTACACGGATCAGTCGTCCTGGTCCCTTTGCAGAAAAACAGCCCAAAAGCATGATGTTTCCACCTCCATGCTTCACAGTAGGTATGGTGTTCTTTGGATGCAACTCAGCATTCTTTGTACTCCAAACACGACGAGTTGAGTTTTTACCAAAAAGTTCTATTTTGGTTTCATCTGACCATATGACATTCTCCCAATCCTCTTCTGGATCATCCAAATGCACTCTAGCAAACTTCAGATGGGCCTGGACATGTACTGGCTTAAGCAGGATTTGAGTCCCTGGCGGCGTAGTGTGTTACTGATGGTAGGCTTTGTTACTTTGGTCCCAGCTCTCTGCAGGTCATTCACTAGGTCCCCCCGTGTGGTTCTGGGATTTTTGCTCACCGTTCTTGTGATCATTTTGACCGCACGGGGTGAGATTTTGCGTGGAGCCCCAGATCGAGGGAGATTATCAGTGGTGTTGTATGTCTTCCATTTCCTAATAATTGCTCCCACAGTTGATTTCTTCAAACCAAGCTGCTTACCTATTGCAGATTCAGTCTTCCCAGCCTGGTGCAGGTCTACAATTTTGTTTCTGGTGTCCTTTGACAGCTCTTTGGTCTTGGCCATAGTGGAGTTTGGAGTGTGACTGTTTGAGGTTGTGGACAGGTGTCTTTTATACTGATAACAAGTTCAAACAGGTGCCATTAATACAGGTAACGAGGGGAGGACAGAGGAGCCTCTTAAAGCAGAAGTTACAGGTCTGTGAGAGCCAGAAATCTTGCTTGTTTGTAGGTGACCAAATACTTATTTTCCACCATAATTTGCAAATAAATTCATTAAAAATCCTACAATGTGATTTTCTGGATTTTTTTTTCTCAATTTGTCTGTCATAGTTGACGTGTACCTATGATGAAAATTACAGGCATCTCTCATCTTTTTAAGTGGGAGAACTTGCACAATTGGTGACTGACTAAATACTTTTTTCCCCCACTGTATATAGTATGTCTGTGATAATTATCAAACAAATATCTTGTAATATTGCATATATTTTACTGTATATAATACCAAAGTAGTAATAACATGTTTAGTGTGAGAAAAGTGATTTAGAACCAGTTAAATGTAATCGAAAATGTAATCTACGTAATCCCCAAAAGTAATTATTTATCATGAGAGGGGCATAAACAATAACTAGTAATGCAGCATACTCGAAGAAAGGTTAAAATCTCACCTTTCTGGTAAAAATAGTTATAAATTGCTGAGGTGTAGTCACTTTTGAGGACACAAGCTCAAGTACACAGTACAAATACGATAAAAATATGAAACATTTTGATAATATGTATTTCCTATTCAACAAAACTGTATGAATAAGGCTTGAAATGACATATGCTTTCTAATATAGTATAATCAAATTATAAAACCACTAACTATAAGATTTCACCTTCCTTATAACTGTAAAATACATATTTGTACGTTTAGTTAGAGAAGATCTTCATATTTTCAAAAGGTCTCTCTTGATCAAAACATCTGCCCGCATCGCTGTGAACGTCTCAGAGCTCTAGCTTGGCTTCCTGAACTCGTTAGGAACTCGCCTTTCATCTCATATTAATCTTGTCCATCTATGACAAACAGAAAGTGTATTTTGTTAAAAACATTATTTTAGATTGTCTATAAATCGATCTCTGAATGTGCTACAGTGATGAAAATCCCGAGTGGCGTGGTGGTCTAAGGCACTGCATCGCAGTGCTAGCTGTGCCACTAGAGATCCTGGTTCGAATCCAGGCTCTGTTGTAGCCGGCCGCAACCGGGAGACCAATGGGGCGGCGCACAATTGGCCCAGCGTCGTCCAGGGTAGGGGAGGGAATGGCCGACAGGGAGGTAGCTCAGTTGGTAGAGCATGGCGTTTGCAACGCCAGGGTTGTGGGTTCGATTCCCACGGGGGGCCAGTATGAAAAAAACTAAACAAATCTATGCACTAACTGTAAGTCGCTCTGGATAAGAGCGTCTGCTAAATGACGTAAATGTAAAATGAAACCTAAATGTAAGGATTTCAGGCATGTGCTTTGTCAGTGGCTGTGAGATAGGGTTCAGCCAGGAGTTGATGGACAGTCAGAAGAGCTAATTAAATGGTAGGAGGGACATCCTAGCTTCAAGTGGTGTCAGATTTCACATCCTACATCACACAGGATAAAGAAATATACTACTGTGTCCATGGGAACCAGGGCTATCGATCTACGGTGTCCACAGATCGATTTATAAGCCAAAATGTCAGTTGGAACCGGTACCAGAACCACGCAGGTCCCCTAAACAGGGGGCTTTACATCTAAGAGGATTTTATTAAGAAGACATTTTTATTATTATTCATTTAGTCTTGTTTGTAATCGGTTTCTGAAGAGCATAATTGTAACAACATACTAAGTTCTAGGATTTTTATGTTCTCTCCTGCATTATGTCTCTTCAGTTCCACCACCTCTCTCTCACTGACTGTCACCCTGGCCTCCATTACATTAGTCTTAATTGGATCAACACCACCAAGTCTACTATTAAGATTCGGGATAGCTACAATATCTGCATTCTCTCCCTTCAGCTCCTCCACCTCTTTCTCACCGTTTGTCAGTCTGTTCCAAATAATTGACAGCTCTGCTGCTTGTGCTGTAATTGTATAAACAGAACCAATAATATGAGATATGTTTGGCTTTCTGCTGGTCAATATAACACTATCTCAAAGCTAACATACAGTATTACATTTTACATTTTAGTCATTTAGCAGACGCTCTTATCCAGAGCGACTTACAGTTAGTGAGTGCATACATTTTTTCATACTGGCCCCCCGTGGGAATCAAACTCACAACCCTGGCGTTGCAAGCGCCATGCTCTACCAACTGAGCTACACTGGGCTACATTATGCATTACAACCTGTGTTCTCTCTCTTTAGTTCCTTCACTTGTTTCTCACTGATTGTCAGTCTGGTCTCACTGATTGTCAGTCTGGTCCCCATGGCTAAAATAACATTCAGTCAGTATTATGATATATGACTGAATGTATGTGGTACACTTCATACATAATGGGTATCATTCTAATTGTGCAAGTCTCCCATTGACATCAATGCATGACTTACATGGAAGTCTGAATGGTGTACACAGATCTCAATTTAGAATTCAGCCCATTGTGAAATATAACTCACATATTACCTGTGTTCAACATCTTCAGCTCCTCCACCTGGCTTTTATAAAACGTCAGTTCAGTCTTAGTGATGCCCAGCTCCACTCTCTGTTCCACCATGATGGTTCCCAGGTTGTGCACTATGTCTCTCAGGTGTTTCAGCTCAGTCCAGATGTCAGGTTGGGTGGTGGTCTGTTTGTCTGAAGTTTTGGTCTTCTGGCTCTCATAGTGAACTTCACTCCCCTCCTCCCTCTCTCCCTGAGCCCATGATGCCCCAGACACACACAGCAGCAACACCAGTGGAACTACAGAAGCCCTCATTCTGACAACACTCACACCTTCTAATGTACCTTCTAGTCTTTTTTTATACAGAACATGAACCATTACACAAGATCACTGTTGGTTTATTTTAGGTACAGTTTAATTTAAGTCCAAGGACTCAAGACGAGAACATTTGTGGATAAGATTATTTTAAAGGTATGTTGTGGGAAATATGAACCTGTTATTATCTAACACAAAAATGTCTTTGTCTCTCTCTTTCTCTCTGTCCCCAGTAAAGCCGTCTAAGCCGCGGTGTTGGATGGAGGGCAGGCTGTTGGAGGGTAGTGACGTTAAGATGAGCTGTAAGTCTACAGATGGCTCTGACCCCATAAACTACAAATGGGAGAGGCTGTTGGACAAGGGCAAGTACGTGGGGAAGCTGCCCCCACTGGCCCTCATAGGTAAACCCTTTAGTCCACTGCATGCTCTCTCTGTGTGTGTGGATATATTTCCTGTGCCTTCAAGACATGATGACAAGTCTGTCATAAATCAGATTTGTCATACACTGACTCAAACTCCAACTAAGATTTCCTACTTGAGAAAAACAAACAAATTGAGCAATTTCCAGATCCCATTTAAGGGCTGGAAATTGCATACTGTACGTAATTAAAGTGTGTGTCAGAATGCCAGGCCAATTTCAATGCAAAGCTACCATCTCCAGTATCCTTATTTGACCTTGTTCACATGTCCAGTTAGTGTTAGTGACAAGTGTTGGTAGAGTCATTTCTCCCATGCAGACTCGGCCAAGTTCTTAGTAAATAACACTCCCTTATCTACATGTACCTACCTGTTCTGGGAAACTGGCCAGTCACATCTGTTACAGCAAAGGACTGAGTTTACCAATCCCAAATCAAACACCAGCCCGACGCCCTATGTATTTGTGTACTGTAGATTTACTAGGATTGAGTAGTTTAGGTAATATAGTGAAAACTCCCCCTAGTGTATCAGAGGGGAAGGTAGAACTAATGTTACATTGCTGTCACGTTGCTGTGGATTGGTGTGGTGTAGAATCAGGCGCAGGAAGCAGAGGATAAGTCCAACAAGACTTTACTAGAGCACACAAAAAATAATCCAAACAGCCCGGAGGCAAAAAGACGCACACAGGCGTAAAATAGCGAGCGCACACACAGGTGCGAAAATACTCTCCTAACACAAGGAGGAAGCTATGAAAATAGCGTACCGACACGGGTAGCGCAACAACACGACACGAACAATTACACACAACACTAAACTAACAACAAGGAAACTAAATAGGGTGCTAAATGAGACATAACACAAAACAGGTGTGACTAACAGACAAAACCAATCAAACAAGAAACATAGAGCGGTGGCAGCTAGTACTCCGGAGACGACGACCGGCGAAACCTGCCCGAACAAGGAGGAGGAGCCGCCTCGGCCGAAACCGTGACAGTACCCCCCCCCTTGACGCGCGGCTCCAGCCGCGCGCCGCCTCCGGCCTCGGGGACGACCAGGAGGACGCGGAGCAGGGCGCGTAGGATGACCACGATGGAATTCGGTCATCAGGGACGGATCCAGAATGTCCCTCCTCGGCACCCAGCACCGCTCCTCCGGACCGTACCCCTCCCACTCCACGAGATATTGGAGACCCCCCATCCGGCGTCTCGAATCCAGGATGGTCCGAACAGTGTACGCCGGAGCCCCCTCGATGTCCAACGGGGGCGGAGGAGTCTCCTCAATCTCAAAGTCCTGGAGTGGACCAGCTACCACCGGCCTGAGGAGAGACACATGGAACGAGGGGTTAATATTCTTGTAATCAATAGGTAGTTCTAACCTGTAACACACCTCGTTCAATCTCCTCAGGACTTTAAAAGGCCCCACAAACCGCCGACCCAGCTTCCGGCAGGGCAGGCGGAGGGGCAGGTTTCTGGTTGAGAGCCAGACTCGATCTCCAGGTGCGTACACTGGCCCCTCACTGCGGTGTAGGTCGGCGCTCGTCTTCTGTCGACGTATGGCACGCTGCAGATGGACGTGTGCAGCGTTCCACGTCTCCTCCGAGCGCCGCACCCACTCATCCACAGCGGGGGCCTCGATCTGGCTCTCATGCCACGGTGCCAGAACCGGCTGGTACCCTAACACACACTGGAAAGGGGTTAGTTTAGTGGAGGAGTGGCGGAGAGAGTTCTGTGCCATCTCGGCCCAGGGCACATATCTCGCCCACTCCTCCGGCCGGCCCTGACAATATGACCTCAGAAACCTACCCACATCCTGGTTGACTCGTTCAACCTGCCCATTACTCTCCGGGTGGTAACCCGAGGTAAGGCTCACCGAGACCCCCAAACGTTCCATAAATGCTCTCCAGACTCTGGAGGTAAACTGGGGGCCTCGATCGGACACTATATCCTCGGGCACCCCGTAATGCCGGAAGACGTGAGTAAATAGAGCCTCAGCGGTCTGTAGGGCAGTAGGAAGACCCGGCATGGGAAGGAGATGACAGGCCTTCGAGAACCGATCCACAACGACCAGGATGGTGGTATTCCCCTGTGAGGAGGGAAGATCGGTAACAAAATCCACCGAGAGGTGAGACCAGGGTCGTTGTGGAACGGGCAGGGGCTGTAATTTACCCCTGGGCAAGTGTCTGGGCGCCTTACACTGGGCACACACTGAGCAGGAGGAGACATAAACCCTCACATCCCTGGCTAACGTTGGCCACCAGTACTTCGTACTAAGGCAGTGCACTGTCCGGCCAATACCTGGATGTCCAGAGGAGGGGGACGTGTGAGCCCAATAAATCAGCCGATCCCGGACCTCGAGCGGGACGTACGCCCGACCCACCGGACACTGTGGAGGACTAGGGTCGGTGCGTAACGCCCGCTCGATCTCCGCATCGACCTCCCACACCACCGGTGCCACCAGACAAGACTCCGGTAGTATGGGGATGGACTCCACGCACCTCTCCTCCGTGTCATACCGACGGGACAGAGCATCTGCCTTCCCGTTCTGGGACCCAGGGATGTAAGTGATCTTGAACACAAACCGGGCGAGAAACATAGTCCATCGAGCCTGGCGAGGATTCAGTCTCCTAGCTGCCCGAATGTATTCCAGGTTACGATGGTCGGTCAGAATGAGGAAAGGGTGCTGAGCCCCCTCAAGCCAATGCCTCCACACCTTTAGGGCCTGTACTACGGCTAACAGCTCCCTGTCCCCTACGTCATAATTCCGCTCCGCCGGACTGAGCTTCTTAGAATAAAAAGCACAGGGGCGGAGCTTAGGTGGTGTACCGGATCGTTGAGAAAGAACTGCCCCGATACCGGCCTCAGACGCGTCCACCTCAACTTGGAAGGGTAAAGTGGGATCCGGGTGCGCCAACACCGGAGCCGAGGTAAACAGGTCCTTCAGTCTCCCAAAGGCCCTGTCCGCCTCAGCCGACCACTGCAAGCGCACCGGACCCCCCTTCAGAAGAGACGTTATGGGAGCTGCCACCTGTCCAAAACCCCGGATAAACCTCCGGTAGTAATTCGCAAAACCCAAGAACCGCTGCACCTCTTTAACCGTAGTTGGGGTTTGCCAATTACGCACGGCTGCCACTCGGTCCACCTCCATTCTCACCCCTGACGCAGACAACTGGTAACCCAAAAAGGAAACTGACTCCTGAAAGAACAGACATTTCTCAGCTTTGACATACAGGTCATGCTCCAACAGTCTCCTCAATACCCTGCGCACCAGGGCTACATGCTCGGCCCGAGTAGAACTGTACACAAGAATATCATCTATGTACACCACTACTCCCTGCGCCTGCATGTCCCGGAAAATTTCATCTACAAACGATTGGAAGACTGATGGAGCATTCATTAACCCATATGGCATGACGAGATACTCGTAATGGCCGGAGGTAGTACTAAATGCTGTCTTCCACTCATCGCCCTCCCTAATGCGCACCAAGTTATATGCGCTCCTGAGGTCCAATTTTGTGAAGAACCGTGCCCCGTGTAATGACTCCGTCATGGTCCCAATCAGCGGGAGTGGATAACTATATTTCACAGTTACCTGATTGAGACCGCGGTAATCAATACACGGACGCAAACCTCCATCCTTTTTCTTCACAAAAAAGAAGCTCGAGGACGCGGGAGAAGTGGAGGACCGTATGTATCCCTGTCTCAGAGACTCGGCAATGTAAGTTTCCATTGCCCTTTTCTCCTCCTGTGACAAAGGATACACATGGCTCCGCAGAAGCGCGGCTCCTGTCTGGAGGTCTATCGCACAATCCCCCTGTCTATGAGGTGGCAACCGTGCCGCTCCGGTCTTACTAAACACGAGCGCCAAATCCTCATACTCAGGAGGAATGTGCAGTGCTGGCATCTGGTTCGGACTCTCCACCGAGGTCGCCCCTACGGAAACACCCAGACATAACCACTCACACTGAGCAGACCACCCTTTAAGAGCCTTCTCTCGCCACGAAATAGTAGGATCATGGGTAGTCAACCAGGGAAGCCCCAGTACCACCGGATACGCAGGAGAGTCGATCAGATAGAGTTGAATCGTCTCCTCATGACCCCCCTGCGTCATCATCCTAAGTGGCGCTGTGACCTCCCCAATCAACCCAGATCCTAACGGACGACTATCTAAGGCATGTACAGGAAAGGGCTTTTCGACTGGAAGGAGGGGAATCCCTAACTTAACACAGAATCTCCGATCTACAAAATTCCCAGCTGCGCCTGAATCGACTAGCGCCTTATGCTGGGAACGAGGTGCAACCTGTGGGAAACAAACAGGTAATGTAATGTGTACGACAAAAAGCTCTGGGTAAGTAGGGCGCCTACTCACCTGGGAGGACTCCCCACTGTATGACCTGCCATCTCCCTCACCAGGGGACCCTCCCCAGCACCTAGCCGCGGTGTGCCCTCCGCGGCCACACTTGGTGCAGGAGACTGCCCCCCTCGGGCTCCTACCTCTTCTCCCTCTAGCGCCAGCACCTCCAAGCTCCATCGGACTCTGCTCGGAGGCGCTGGAGGGTGGAATGGGAGGCCCCCACCTGGGACGTCCGCGGGTCGCAAGCAGGGTGTCCAGTCGAATGGCCATGTCCACCAGCTGGTCAAATGTTAGTGTAGTGTCCCTGCATGCTAACTCCCTGCGGACGTCCTCCCGAAGGCTACATCTAAAGTGGTCTATGAGGGCCCTCTCATTCCACCCAGCATCAGCCGCTAGAGTCCGGAACTCCAGCGCAAACTCTTGAGCGCTCCTCATCCCCTGTCGGAGGTGGAATAGACGCTCCCCCGCCGCCTTCCCCTCTGGTGGATGGTCGAAGACTGCACGGAAGCGGCGGGAGAACTCCACATAGGTGACTGTGGCGGCGTCTATTCCCCTCCATTCGGCGTTGGCCCACTCCAACGCCTTGCCGGTGAGACAGGAGATGAGGGCGGAAACGCTCTCGTATTCCGAGGGCGCCGGGTGTATGGTGGCAAGGTAGAGCTCCACTTGTAAGAGGAACCCCTGACACCCGGCAGCGGTGCCGTCGTACGCCCTCGGGAGCGAGAGCCGAATCCCACTGGGTTCCGGTCGATGGACGGGCTGGCTGTCCGGTGGTGATGGTGCGATAGGTGGGGCTGTGGGGACCCCGCTGGTTTCCCATCGACGAAGGGTGTCCATGACGCCCTCCAAGGCGTGCCCGATCTGGTTGATCCGGTGCTCTTGACCAAGGAGACGCTCCTCCATGATGTCGACGGGTGCTCCTGCTGATTCCATGTAAGGTGTGTAATTCTGTCACGTTGCTGTGGATTGGTGTGGTGTAGAATCAGGCGCAGGAAGCAGAGGATAAGTCCAACAAGACTTTACTAGAGCACACAAAAAATTATCCAAACAGCCCGGAGGCAAAAAGACGCACACAGGCGTAAAATAGCGAGCGCACACACAGGTGCGAAAATACTCTCCTAACACAAGGAGGAAGCTATGAAAATAGCGTACCGACACGGGTAGCGCAACAACACGACACGAACAATTACACACAACACTAAACTAACAACAAGGAAACTAAATAGGGTGCTAAATGAGACATAACACAAAACAGGTGTGACTAACAGACAAAACCAATCAAACAAGAAACATAGAGCGGTGGCAGCTAGTACTCCGGAGACGACGACCGGCGAAACCTGCCCGAACAAGGAGGAGGAGCCGCCTCGGCCGAAACCGTGACAATTGCAGATACTTATTGAATCCAATCAGATCTACAAAAAGTGCCTAAAGTGTAGGGGCTAGAGGTTGATTTGGGATTGGGCAAATGACTGGTCCAAAAAGCAGTCTATAACAGGGAACAGTACTACTCATTTTTTACATTTACAATTTTTTAGTCATTTAGCAGACGCTACTATCAAGCGTGACTTACAGTAGTTTTCATACTGGTCCCCCACGGGAATACGAACCCACAACCCTGGCGTTGCAAGCACCATACTCTACCAACTGAGTCACACATCCAAAGAAACAATATGAAAGTGACCTTGCAGTAACATGTAAAAGAGACACCATGGTTTCGATCATGGTTTGGTCACTCTGAATTAGTTTAACTTTATTTCCATTGTTAGCTATCACCATTTTTCTTAAAATATCAAATTTTATGTATTCGATGAATGTTCAAAGTTCAAACACTCCACATAACCATCACCTGCAATAGTGTTTCTGGATTTGATAGTTGAAAAAAAACTTAAAATTGCATCACAATCACTGTACCGCACTATATCCTGGACTTCCTGACTGACCTCCCACAGGCGGTGAGGGTAGGCAACAACACTTACGCCACGCTGACCATCAACATGGGGGCCCCTCAGGGGTGTGTGCTTAGTCCCCTCCTGTACTCCCTGTTCACCCACGACTCCAACACCATCATTACGTTTTCTGATGACACAACAGTGGTAGAACTGATCACAGACGACGATGAGACAGCCTATAGGGAGGAGGTCAGAGACCTGGCAGTGTGATGCCAGGACAACAACCTTTCCCTCCACGCCAGCAAGATAAGGGAGCTGATCGTGGACTACAGGAAACGGAGGGGCGAGCACGCCCCCATCCACAACAATGGGGCTGTAGTGGAGTGGGTCGAGAGCTACAAGTTCCTCTGTGTCCACATCACTAAGGAATTAACATGGTCCACACACACCCACAGAGTTGTGAAGATGGCACCTCAGCGCCTCTTCCCCCTCAGGAGGTTGAAAAGATTTGGTATGGGCCTCAAAATGTTTAACAGCTGCACCATTGAGAGCATCTTGACTGGCTACATCACCGCTTGGCATGGCAACTGCAAGCCACACGACCGCAAGGCGCTACAGAGGGTGGGGAGTACAGGGCCGAGCTCCCTGCCATCCAGGACATCTACACCAGGCGGTGTCAAACAATTGTCAAAGACTCCAGTCACCCAAACCATAGACTGTTCTCGTTGCTACTGCACGGCAAGCGATACCAGTGCACCAAGTCTGGAACCAACAGGACCCTGAACAGCTTCTACCCCCAAGCCATAAGACTGCTAAACAAGACTGCTAAATAACTATTCAAATGGCTACCCAGACTACCCACATTGACCCTTTTTTGCACCAACTCTCTTGCACTGACACTACTACCCACACACTCACGCATACTTACACCGACATCCCAACACACACATACAATACATACGCCCACACACACATAACACACACACACGTATACTGACACCACACACACACTCACACGCTGCTACTACTGTCTATTATCTATCCTGTTGTTTAGCCACTTTACCCCTACATTTGACTTTTTTTAAAACATTTTAGTCATTTAGCAGACGCTCTTATCCAGAGCGAATTACAGTTAGTGAGTGCATACATTTTTCATACCCCTACCAATATGTACTGTACATAGCTACCTTAGTTACCTCGTACCCCTGCACATCGACCCGGTACTGGTGCTCCCTGTATATAGCCATGTTATTTTTACTCGATATTCACTGTGTATTTATTCCTCATGTCACTATTTCTATTTCTTATCTTAACTCTTCATTGTTGGAAAGGAGCCCGTAAGTAAGCATTTCACTGTTAGGACTCTATTCAATCAGATCTGCTTTAGCCGACATCCGCATAGCGGTTCTTTTGGCGGTTTCGGAGGTGGAATTGTGTTAGAGTTGTCAAATCCACAAGCGGCTCCTGGCATTATACCTAAAGCGGACATTACCATTGGCTGCACGGAGTCACATTAACAGAAATTCCATGCAGCCTTGTTTACAAGTTCTAACATTGGAATGTGAGATGTAATCTACACCTCCATTATGATGATAAAAATCCTCATTAATTTGTTTAATGATTTTTCAATTTGAGGTGTAATTATTTCTATACACCCTACACTTTCTCGTTCTGAACTTCTAACGTGAGTGGGGCGGGTGTGGCTTCGTGACAATGATCACAAGAGCAGCTGCTCACCGATTTGACAGCTCCAACACAGTTCCACCTCCAACACCACCAAAACACTCGCTACAGTATGTGGCTGTCTGCTATCGCCGGTTAACGCTTGATCTGATTGAATGTATGTAGTTTGATAAAAATGTTTATGTAGTTCTGTCCTTTAGCTGTTCTTGTCTATTAATGTTCTGTATTATGTAATGTTTCATGTTTTGTGTGGACCCAAGGAAGAGTAGCTGCTGCTTTTGCAACAGCTAATGGGGATCCTAATAAAATACCAAAAAATACAATATCTCAGCCTTAGTCTACACCTGTTGTTTATGAAGCATGTGACAAATAAAATTGGATTGGATTTGACCTTGTCCTGTTCTCGTGTAAGATTTGAAGAACTCCGAGATAGTGACACTGAGGAACCTGACCAAGGACAGTGCTGGGGTGTATAAATGTACCGCCAGCAACGATGTGGGAGAGGAGAGCTGCACCGTAGAGGTCAAAGTGCACTGTGAGTAGCCCAGGCTATAACCAACACCTACATACACACTGTCTCATATTATAACCCCATTAATGTTACCAAAGATGATATGTAGGACAGTAATAGCTATCACTTTCTTTGTGTACATTTCAGATGTGCGGGGCATGGGTGTGGTGGCGGGCGCCGTGGTGGGCGTGTCCTTCGGCGTCCTCCTCATCATTCTCATCATTTGGCTGGTGTTCCGCAAGAAGGAGAAGAAGAAATACGAGGAGGAGGAGACCCCTAACGAGATCAGGTACACACACATGCACACGCATATAAGCATACACACACAATCGCATACACACGCGCATCACTCACACATACATACTTTCACACACAATCATGCTCAAACACACACATTTAGGATAGTTAAGTTAATTTGCAGATAGTCAAAAACACAGAACATATTGAATCAGAAATAACAAAAAGTAAATACATAAACAGATGGGGTGGGAACAAACCTCACCTAGTTGGTACAAAAAAGGACTTGACTTCACTCTCAGTCCACCTACACAAGTGTTAATACCACCACCACTTAAACCAGCCTGTGTAGCATCCTCTCTCCAGCCTGTGTAGCATCCTCTCTCCAGCCTGTGTAGCATCCTCTCTCCAGCCTGTGTAGCATCCTCTCTCCAGCCTGTGTAGCATCCTCTCTCCAGCCTGTGTAGCATCCCCCTCCAGGTACTGTAGCTCCAGTACAGCTACACCATCCCTTACCTCTCAGAGCAGGATCCTCTCTCCAGCCTGTGTATACCATCACCTTTCCTCCCCATCCCTCAGAGCAGGTTTCTTACCTCTTATAGCAGGTTCCCAACCCTTAGAGCAGGTTCATTACCTCTCAGAGCAGGTTCCTTACCTCTCCGAACAGGTCCCTTACCTCTCCGAACAGGTCCCTTACATCTCCAGGCAGGTTCCTCACCTCTCAGAGCAGGTTCCTCACCTCTCAGAGCAGGTTCCTCAAGTCTCAGAGCAGGTTCCTCAACTCTCAGAGCAGGTTCCTCATCTCTTATAGCAGGTTCCTTACCTCTCAGAGCAGGTTCCTCACCTCTCAGAGCAGGATCCTCTCTCCAGCCTGTGTATACACTCCCCTTTCCTCCCCATCCCTCAGAGCAGGTTCCTTCCCCATCTCTCAGAGCAGGTTCCTCCCCATCCCTCAGAGCAGGTTCCTCCCTATCCCTCAGAGCAGGTTCCTCCCCATCCCTCAGAGCAGGTTCCTCCCCATCCCTCAGAGCAGGTTCCCAGGGTCCTAAATTATGTCTGATAATGCTGCTTGCTGGCAGTGTCAGGCTGAATTCTGCAGGCACAGGGGGATGGCTAAGCACCAATAATGGAGTGGCACGGCAAGGTCGAGAGCCACGGAGCAGACAGTCACTTCTGTCCTGTTTACATATGGAGCATTAGCAGCGACACATGCACACATACTCGTACACACATACACACACAGTCTTAGGTCAAACTGATGTTTAATTAGAGAAGGTGAGGGGTTGCTAATGACGTAGTGACAATTAAGCATGTGTCGGTGAGGTGCTGTCCTAACCTGACCTAACTAGGGTTCATTGTAAGAAGGGGATACAAGTTATTAAGTCATTCAGAGTACCATGTATTTGGCCAGCTACTGCTGTTACTGCAAAGAATACATATCGGTTTTATATGAAGACGTAAAAGTTCATAATGTTCTATGGATGCAGACATAGTGTTGTGCGTTATAATGCGATATGCATTTAAACCATTATAGATGTTCTTATAATGCACTCACTGTGCATTATGTGGAAGGTTGTCATTTAATTAATATTATCTTGTTTCATTGAGTGACATCCTTCGAAGTTCTGAGCCACACATGTCTTTGTCTCTGTCTTAGGGAGGACGCGGAGGCTCCCAAGGCCAAACTGGTGAAGCCCAATTCTCTCTCCTCGTCCCGCTCTGGAAGCTCCCGCTCAGGCACCTCCTCCACCCAGTCCATGGTCCACACCACTGCCCCCCGGGGGCCCCGCGCCCGCCTGCCTGACGTGGCCGCCCTCAATGAAAACGGCCAGCCCACCAGCTTCCCCCAACAGCCCCCTGCCTACACACAGGTGGTCCCCAAGACCCCTGAGCCCCGCACAGCCCCGGCCAAGCCCAGCCCTCCCCCCAAACTGAGCCCCGGGAACCTGGCCCGCATGGGGGCAACGCCAGTCATGATCCCTGCCCAGACCAAGGCATTCCAGACTGTTTAGGAGGGAGGGAGGGAGGGGAGGGAGTAGTGGAGGGAGTAGACGCAGACAGACACAAGAAGCCACAGTACACAGCTGATAGCAACCCCCAGCCTGCCCCCAGAAACCCTGTGAAAACCAGCCATACCATCGGCAACTAAAAGTATAATTGAGTGCACTCTTACGAAGGGAAGATTTTCATAAGAGGTTTTGTACCCTCTCCTGTACAAACAATACAGAGCAAAATCTCTTGTTCGCATGATATCCCTTGACAACAGAACTTTCATTCTGTTTTTGCCTGATTTTGCTGACGAGGTCAGTGATGTGTATCATCCTCTGAGGTGGAAGAAGGGGAGGACCCTGAGTAGAGTTGAGGTATTTTAAAAACCGAAGTGACAGAGCCATGAAAGAGGAACGGGCTATGGACGAAGGGAGGGAGGGAGTGAGAGCAAACAGAGGGCTGGAAAATAACAAACAAAGGAGATACACAGGCATAGCTCTCCAGAGATCAGGCCAGGGTGTCTGGCTGTCTCACGACACCTGATACCTGCTACCAACCAGCTCAAACCAGATGGCAGACAAAAAATTATAAGACAGGAAAAGTAAACCGCTCTCCAAACGCCTGCATTCCCAGGCTTGCCTGAGCACCACACTCACACACTCCGCCACACAGAGCCAATCAACATCTCGCAGGCTGCTTTGCTGGCATCACACACCTCCATGTATTCTCCTCCGGGATTCCCGCCAAGGCCAGCAGGCATGGTGATTGGTTTAGTAAGGAGGGGGGGGGGGGCACCGATTGATCTGTCGATCGATCGACACGAATGAGAGTGGATGAAAGTTTGCTGCTCATGCAAGAGGGATGTTTGTCTGTGATTGTACAAAAATGGTCTAGCTTAAGTAATAGACACCACTTAGACACGTCACTTGTCACCCTATCCACCTGCACATGGGTCACTCGCAGCAACATGGACATATCGATATTGATTTCCCTTGCTTCCATGTTTCCTGTGCATCCAGCACTATACACTCAACAAGTCTGGACATATGTAACGTTATCTTCCCATGTTCATGGTCTGCGTCAATTAAGCCCATAGGAAGATATGACTTTGTGGTCATCATAGGGGATTATTAATGGCTGTGATATGTATTGCTGTCTAATATTTTACGTTTGCTTTTTTTCTATTTAATTTATTTCAGATTCCTTCAGAATGTTTAAGGATTGTTATTAAAGGGGTGAACATAAGCCCTATCGATAAAGTGCCACTGTTGATGTTTGTTGAAGATTGTTAATGGCATTTCTGTTTTTGTTTGTGTTGTGTTAATAGCATTTCCATTAATCCAAATTAATGAACTAACTTATGAATGTGTTGCTATACCGTGCAGTATATAAAGGGCTGGATTCAATCCCTATCGCAGAAGTAACGCGGAAGATCCGCGTTATAGCTTGATTTCAATTTAAAGGCAATGTTCCCGCGTTCGCGGGAGTGATTTAGCTTTGAGTGATTTTGTTTAACCATGTAGTCATACTAGTTTCAGTCCAACTCAAATCATTCCATCAAAGTCTCTTCATGGTGGCCAAACAGAATTTAAACAACACTCAAACTCAGTCAAATATCCTGCCTGAAAGTGTTGGATTATGCCCTACCTTTCTCTCTGACTTAAATGTCAACTTTTGCCTGAGCTCTCATCTGATCCAAAGGCGTGACTTCTGCCTAGCGATAGTCTTCTCTGGCTCTACGCAGTAGCACATTGGTCATTCAGTGTTATGACAGCTTCCTCCCAAAGAGACACCCCTGTTATTTTGGCTCACTCACAATGTAATGGATGAGATGTCAGGAGGTATTTGGAGTGACTGATGCTGTGTTGCCCTCCAGGAGAACCCAGCACACTCATCTTAGATCACCCAGGAGGGAGTGCTCTTCTCGTCCAGCGGTGCAGATAGCATAAGAGCGCACTCGCACTCTGGCCTCCGAAATGGTTCAAACCAGGACGGGGGAGTCTATACTTCTTGAAAAAGGTTCATTAACCTATATTTTCATTCATGCCTGGTTGAAATCACCCAGATTAATTTGTATCAATAATTGTAGTTTTTTAAAGTCACGCCAGTTGTGACGATGAGATTATCTCATGAATCGTGGGCAGTTCAAAGAGCGAAAAGAAAGCAGCAATTTTGTCTCGGTGACTCTCTTGAGTACTTCTAGCTTGCCCACTGCTGGTTGAAAAGCTCCTTTAAACCAGGAGACGGATGAGTGGCGAGATAAGAGGACGACACCTGAGGGAGAGCGCCTGATTACCCACCACAACCCCCTTTGAATTTCCCATTATACCCCTGAAAGCCAATACAGGGAGGCCGATGATTGAATGTGGCTCTTACGGCCGTTTGATGGGGTAGGATACGCACCGGTATTGATTTTCCTGTTATCTGAGTAGCTCTGTGAATTCCCCTGGCGGAGCGCTCAGTGTCCTGAATCATTAGGGTTTCCACCATTTTTGGAATGTCTTGCTTGGCAGACAGGAGGAATGGGAATGCTCCAAACCATGCTGGGGATTGGAATAACGTGAACCACAGGCGTTACGTTGCCCTTTCACCATGTATCGACTCCAAAAGGACATTACCATAGGTTAGCTAGTACAAAACTTGCATCTTGATGTCATTCAATAGTCTGTCTACTCTAAAGATCTCCACTATGGTTTGAGTGATGGGACCTTTGATATTATACATACAGTGTAATGTTCAAGGGAGAAACAATCCACCCAAAGCTGAAAAATGATGGATATGCATGTCACAGATACTTAACAAGAGAAAGAACAAAACAGTATTTTTGCCTCAATGCTTATATAAATATATAAATGATAATCTTGTACAGAAAAATGTTACAGTTAAAACAAATGCTATGACTGTAAAAAAGGAACGTTTTATATATTGTTTTGTTCTTTTTGAGTTTACTCCTTTGGGTTAAGTATTCAATCATAAGTACCTTGCACTTTCTTATACTGTGCTTTCTGTGTCCCGCTTGCGTTAAGACCTTTTCACACCAACACCGTTACAGGGGAAAAAAAATTTCTCTCACTCGATTTTCTTTGATTGAGAACATCATGCAGTTACTTTGAGTTGTTGTAAACCAAAAAGGCAATGTACATACCTCCTTCTCGAGTGAAAAATGTATATTTGTACAATATCTGAATAAGTACTGTTTTGGTTTGTAATAAAGCATTTGATGAATAGCCACTTGGTATGATTGTTCTCTACTTCAGACATGCCGACACGTGTAGGGACGGTTTCCTGGACACATAAAGTGCATTCGGAAGTACTCAAACCCCTTGACTTTTTCCACATTCTGTTACGTTACAGCCTTATTCTAAAATGGATTAAATGATTTTTTACCCCTTCATCAATCTAAACACAATACCCTATAATGACGAAGCGAAAGTAGGTTTTTATAATTTTTTGCAAATGTATTTTTTAAAAAAACCAGATACCTTATTTACATAAGTATTCAGACTCTTTTTTTCCTTTTCTTTTTCTCGCAAATATATATATGCATATATATATATATATATATACATATATATATATATATATATATACACACATATAGACATATATACATACATACACACATACATATACATATATACATATACACACACACATACATACATACACATACATACACACATACATACATACACATACACATCCTTTTTAGAAATATATTTCCCTTTATTATCTTCCAACCCCACCACCCCTTCCCTAATTGGAGTAAACTAGTGAACAACAACGCTTAGGCCTCTACTTCCAGCTTATACACACTATATACAATTTTACAATAATAATTTTGTTTGTTTTTACTCCTGAACTTCCTCTACCCTCAACCTCTCCGATCATTTTCATGATGTCCATCCGGTTTGCTTCTAAATGCCATACCATATTCAGTATTCAGACTCTTTGCTATGAGACTCGAAATTGAGTTCAGGTGCATCCTTTTTCCATTGATCATCTTTGAGATGTTTCTACAACTTGATTGGAGTCCACCTGTGGTAAATTCAATTGATTGGACATGATTTGGAAAGGCACACACCTGTCTATATAAGGTCCCACAGTTGACAGTGCATGTCAGAGCAAAAACCAAGCCATGAGGTTGAAGGAATTGTCCGTAAAGCTCCGAGACAGGATTGTGTCGAGGCACAGATCTGGGGAAGGGTACCAACATTTCTGCAGCATTGAAGGTCCCCAAGAATACAGTGGCCTCCATCATTCTTAAATGGTTTGGAACCACCAAGACTCTTCCTAGAGCTGGCCGCCCAGCCAAACTGAGAAATCTGGGGAGAAGGGCCTTGGTCAGGGAGGTGACCAAGAACCCGATGGTCACTCTGTCAGAGCTCCAGAGTTCCTCTGTGGAGATGGGAGAACCTTCCAGAAGGACAACCATCTCTGCAGCACTCCACCAATCAGGCCTTTATGGTGGAGTGGCCAGACAGAAGCCACTCCTCAGTCAAAGGCACATGACAGCCCGCTTGGAGTTTGCCAAAAGGCGCCGAAAGGACTCTCAGACCATGAGAAACAAGATTCTGTGGTCTGATGAAACCAAGATTGAACTCTTTGGCCTGAATGCCAAGTGTCACGTCTGAAGGAAACCTGACACCATCCCTACGGTGATGCATGGTGGTGGCAGCATCATGCTGTGGTGATGTTTTTCAGCGGCAGGGACTGGGAGACTAGTCAGGATCGAGGGAAAGATGAACAGAGCAAAGTACAGAGAGATCCTTGATGAAAACCTGCTCCAGAACACTCAGGACATCAGACTGGGGCAAAGGTTCACCTTCCAAGAGGACAACGACCCTAAGCACACAGCCAAGACAACGCAGGAGTGGCTTCGGGACAAGTCTCTGAATGTCCTTGAGTGGCCCAGCCAGAGCCCGGACCCGATCGAACATTTCTGGAGAGACCTGAAAATAGCTGTGCAGCAACGCTCCCCATCCAACCTGACAGAGCTTGAGAGGATCTGCAGAATAGA